TATTATTATTATTATTATTATTATTATTATTATTATTATTATTATTATTATTATTATTATTATTATTATTATTATTAGCATTATTATTAATATTATCACACTATTATTATCCATCGTTAACTTCTATTTTAAAAAGGAAACCCCAATTACCGATTTTATATCTTCACTAAGCTTGAACACGGCAATTATCAAGTTTTTCTTAAGGGCCAGTAGCAATTCTTCAACCTCTACGACTAGTCAAAATGAAACATTCGATGAGACTTGCATTGATAGTGCTTGGAAAAAGTGTTTATCGGTGCTCCTTGGAGAAAATATTGAAACGTATGTAGTCAATTTACATTACAGAATATCATGTAAAAATATTAACATATTTATTTGTAACATTATAAAGGTCAGATCTTCAAGAGATCATAAAGACCGCAGATCATGCAATTTTTATAACTCCTTTGAGTCTTGAACCTGTTATCCTAAATTTAAAGAAATGTACTTGTGGTGCTTTTAATTCATTGTGATATTTTTGATTGACCAAGACTATAATTATTCATTATATTTGTATCCATATATCAGTGGATGAATGTGAAATACCCAACCTTATTCCACAAAATTCTATAGGTGTTGAACTAAAAATAACGACAAATTCACCGGAAACTTTATTATTTGTTGAAGAAGCTTTGCTAGGGCGACTTGACGACTTTTCTAACACAACTGATTCTGCTGACAAGATAGGTGTTGGTGAGGCCGGTAAATATAGATTTTTTCGGGGTTCTTTTTTTTAAAAAAAAGTTTATTATCACAAATTTAAGTGCCATTTTTAATTTTAATAGTCCGACCTACACTATCTCAAAAAGTCAAAGAACAATTGATAAACCTTAAAACAGATCGTGATTCATTAATAGGACTACATGGACGACATGAAAATAATGAAGATGGGGTAACTTGGGATGATTTTGTTGAAGTTTCTAAGCAGACTGAATCCAGAACCGTAGAAGTTGTGAGTTCTGTTAGAAACGAGATGAACAATATGTGGTTAAATGGTGTCGTCGAATTATAGTATTAGTTATTGAATTACCTTTATTTAGAATAAAATAAAATACTTTGAAAAGGTTCCATTATACTTCATTGCTTTTAAATGTTATAAACATCACGTACTTATGTGTAAAGTCTTGATTTAAATACGTATTTTAACCTAATAACTAATAACAACTAATAGTAATTTAAATTTTGTGACATTGGAAAATGAACTTACATGAATTTAGTTTATATTTTTCATCTCTAATAATATGCAGATAATAACTCAATAAAACAATAAAAACAGTAAATTATCATTAAGCTTTTTGATCTTAAGGACTAATTTTAACGTGTAGTTTGAATGTGTAGCAAATTTAACCATTTTATATTTATTGTCAAACTTTTGCAAGCATTATAAATTTATAAAAGTGATAATTGAAAATAAAAACTATTTACTTAGATTGCTTAATTAAAGTGTTATCTAAAATCAAAGATATTAAAAAATCCATGGAATAAATTTTTTCCTCTTTGATACGTAATCATTCCATTCCTTTTTAAAATGATTTTTTAGCATTTGTTCTTCTATTCTGACTCTATTCCAAAATATCAATATTGCAAGTACATAACTAGTTATTCGTATCCAATTATTATACAAAATGTAATTCACAACATAAGGCAAGTATAATTGAACGTATGGTTGAATTTGATCGATCATGTATACGTTGATAGGTATCGATAGCAAGATTCCTGTGTACTGATATATAAAATAATAATATAAGGAAGGAATTATTGTAAAAATTTGGCTCAAATTGAGGTTACTTTCAAGCAGGTCATTGAATACTTTTAAAAATCTATTATACATATAACGATAATATTCTGTATTTATGTTCATAAAGCTCTTACATATTTTGCGGAATAATATAGTATTACTAGAAAATTGCATAGTATTCCCTAAGCTTTCATCCCGCAAAATATGGCCAATAAATTTAGCAGTAACCTATAATAGAAATATCCAAGATCCCGTTCAAACCTCAAGTTGAGCCCTCATATTATTTAATCATGGTTTTTACCGATGGATGAATTAGCAGTCGATATGGTCCGGTAGTAATCAATTTATGATCTTTCTTTATCTCAACGTTAAAAGTAAAAAACTCGTTCATAACTCTATAACACCATAATCTTAACATACTTCCCAGTATCGACATAAAACAAAATAACATTTCCTCTAAATTCCATTCTGATAATTTATGCGTTCTGGACATTTCATAAACGAAATTAAAATAAGTTGTTTCTTTTGAAGGTGACAAAGCTGGAATTGGTAAATTATCAATTTCCTGTTGATACATCAAATAAACGTAATATAAGGATAAATAAATATTTGCAAGTCGTGCAATATAAATCCCAAAATGGATCAATAATAATCCACTAATTCCTTCAACTTTGTAGGTTTGTGAAGGTTTCAACTTAATTGATTTTGGAGGAAAAGTTATTAAATAAAATAGATAAGCTTGAAGGAGAATCACGACTACTTTTGTAATCATCTTTGTTATTCGTAAGAATAAATGTACGTAGTGAGCTTGGTTTTGGGAATGGATGTATTCTCAATTTTCTTTAAAAGGAAGGGAAAACAACTCCAGTAACGTTTACGTAGAAAATTTTCGAGTTAAAAACTATTATACAAGGGTTACCATTGCACTGTTGCAGTGTGTTTAGATTATGGCGTCATAGATGGCAATACTGGTTACTATATAATCAATTCCAATAAGATTTTTAGATTAGGTGTAATGAGGGAACGTTAAAGCCAGGTACCAGTTAGGGTTACTTTTTTGATTTAGTTAGGGTTAGCGGGTTATATAGATATTACTGTATTAAGAAAACTCATACAGGGGGATCCCCAAAATTCAGGGTCGGAATACTTCGGAATCATGATCGGCAGGGCCGGAATTAACTAATTTTGCCCAAGATCACTAAAAGTTTTACT